GCGGCGGGCCGCGTTGATCATCTCCAGCGCCTTGCTCTTGGCCGCAGCCTTCTCCTGCTCGGCCGCAGCCTGGTCGGCCGCAGCCTTCTCGTCCGCACTCTTCTTGGCCGCCGCCGCCGCCTCCATCTCCGCGGCGGCGGCGGCCGCGGCGGCGGCGGCCTCCTCGTCAACCCGCTTCGCGGCCTCGGCCGCGACGGACTGCTGGATCCACTTCTCCGCCTCGAACGCTTGCAGCGGCGGCTCGACCGCATCGACCGCGGGCGCGTCGGTCTTGGACTTGCTCTTGAAGCTCTTGGCCGTGGCCTTGAGCTTCTCCCCGACCTTGGAGGGCTTGAGCGACTTGAGCGACTTGAAGGTTGGCATTACGGCGAGGCCGGAGGGGGGCGACCGGGGCGACCTCGCTTTGAATGGTCGATGGCCGCGGAAAAAGTCGAGCTCGTTTTCTTTTCACACCCTCCCCAAAATGTTAGGAGGACTCAGTCTGGAGGAGCGTGCCATGCGATCGCTAGACTGACTGTGACTGCATCCTCCGCATCAACATCGGCATCGCAGGCCAGGAGCTGCTGCTTGCTTGCTGCCTCTCCTGCCGCCAGAGCCGGCCGGTGTTTTGCTCAGCCCGGCCGATACTGCGGCTGGCTGAGGAGGACGCTCGTCGCAAAGAGCGACTGAGATTGCTAGAGGGGGAGCAGCCATGCCTGCTCTAGCCTCACACGTCGCGTGCCCTGTGCCTGTCGCCTGTCTCGCTGTCTGCGTTGTTGTTTGTGCTGCTGTTTGTGCCCTTGGCACCTTGAGTGCTGGAGGGGGCGACAGGGGGGGACGTGGCCCTGAGTGATCTGTGATCTGTGATCTGTGAGGGTCCGCCCGCAGGCGCATTTTGTATACCGAGCGAGGCGGTGCCCGGTGCGGCGGTGCCGAGCGAGTTAGGCTGTACGAGGTTTGCCTCTCGCACCCCGTCTGTTTTCCTTTCCTTTTTTCTCTACAGCACCCTCTCTTTTCCTCTCTATTTTCCGTGGAAATCGTCAAATTTTGGGGGGCTCTGAGCCGAGTCTGAGGCTGGTTTGGGCCCAAAATCAGCCAAATTTTAGGCCAAATCGTCAAAATGCCGGGGAATTTTGCGGAGTATCCCGTGTAGACCTGGAATTTACCCTGCGACCGCCTGGGTATTTTGTCGATTCCTCAATTTTGCCTCAGATTTTGCCCCAGACCAGCTCTCAGACTCAGGGAAACTCTCGAGTTTCCAGAATGGAGCACCAAACACCCTC